GAAAGTATAATTTATTGGCAACTTCATCTCTATCCTCTAAGATGACAAATACATAGGTATACAACTTTCCATATTTTGTTATGATCTTTAATGTTATTAACATCAGTGATATATCCCTATCTAATTATTTTATTTTGTTCTATTTCACTAATCAGAGTAATTGACATCTTATCAAGTTCATTCAAAATTAAATCAAAACACTGCAAAGATTCACCTTTTTATTGACCCAATAGTAATCATTAATTTTATGTGTAGATATTATTAACACTTATATTGAGCTATATGCCAAATATAGTTGTGTCTGTGAATTTTTTCATAGATGATATTAACATTTATGTCAGTAGGTTTTGATGAAATAAATTATCATCTATAGTTCAAGGATTTTCTTCAGTCTCCTGTATTAAGAAAAAACAGGTAAAATTCTGCTTCTAAATATCCTTGGAACTCATCAGCTCCAAATATCAACTACGTCAGTGATTCCCTGGGTACCCAACCAACTTAACCTGTCAAATATATCATTAACAACCTTCATATATGTCTTTTTGGAGCAAATTCTTCAAAATAAACACATATCCCCACACAATTATTTCTTCCCTTGGGAATCCCTAATACATGATTCACCTATTGTATTAGTCTATTTTCTATTTGGCTGATTTCTGATCTTATGTATCAGAATTTATTTCTTTTGCTTATTTGAATTTTCATTACTTTTAGCTCATTTTTACTCCTTTATTGAAATTTAGTTAGCAAACTCAATGCTAAACAAGAACAATTCAATATATATTCTCTGAGAAGAATCTCCATAATGAAGACAATGAACATCTCTGTGAATTGTTTTTAAGTTACCCTTCAGTGCATGTAGTAGGAACACTTCAATCCTCCCATGTAGACAATTTTGAAATGTTTTCTTCTGAACTTTAGATGTTTTGTTTTTAGCTATACCTTGGTCAAACACTTTAACAACAAAGATTGACTGGTCAAGAAGTAGGTGGGGAAGGCTGGAAGACTTGCAAAGCTGTATATGTAATTTTTAACACAGTAGATAGATGTTAATTTAAGGATAATAATAAGAGTGGCACCGTGAAGATGATATGTTTAGTGATGGTGGAGAAAAGATTCCTATAACTAAAGCTGAATGTGTAACAATAAAATGTAAATCTTATCAGCTGTTGAGAAAGTAAGGAGAAAATTTTGATTTGGTTTGCTCTGTGTTTCAACTCAGGCAGAAGCTACTTCATGGAAAGAATTAATTCAATAGGCTAACCACTGAGGTCATTTGATGTCATCAAGTCCCAGCAGATCTTCCCCAGGTTTCCTTGCTCCATAATCTTCTCTTTCTTCCCTCTTTACATCTTTGGGTTTTCTTTTGTTTGTTTTTTTCCTTTCTTTCTTTCTTTTTTTTTCTTTTTTTATTTTTTTGGTTTTTTGAGACAGGGTTTTTCTGAATTGCTTTGGAGGTTGTTCTGGAACTAGCTCTTGCAGACCAGGCTGGTCTTGAACTCACAGAGATCTGCCTGCCTCTGCCTCCTGAGTGTTGGGATTAAAGGCGTGTGCCAACACTGCCCAGCCCTTTTTTAAATCCTTCTTATCTTTCTTACTTTATATTGTGAAAATCTTTAAGCACATAAAATATTGAAACTACTGTATAAGAAAGTCCTGCTATGACATATGCCAGGCACTTGGCTGCCATGGGACAACATGTGCTAAACCACTGACCAGACTCATCTGACAGCTTCTCAGAAACCTCTTCTAGCATTTGCCGGTGTGGACCTTAATTGGAATGTAACAAACATGAACACTAATCACAGGTTGAGGATTGGTTTCTATACATTTTATTTTCTTATTTTACTCATGTCTCCAACAGGTATCATAATATTAACTATTTCCTTTGGTAGCTTTGAAGGTCAAAATTTTGTTCTTAGGAAAATGCCACTTGAGATGTACGGGTGCACAACATTAACTTAAAAACTTGTAGTGCCAAGCAGGAAACTTTCAAGGAATAATTTGGTAAACTTAATCACCACAGACTAGTATAAGAGCAGAGGAAAATCACAACAGAAACAGAAAACCAACAGAAGGAACAGCCTTGTAAATTCACAATGCCTCACCCAGAGAAAGACAGTCATGAGGGGTGTAAAATCATTCCCCAAGGAGGGACACTAGGCTCACATTTTAAATGTATGTGAATTCTTATATATTTGTTTGTATGTATGTATGTATGTATGTACATATGTATTTTATTTAAATTAAAACAATCTTATTTTACATAACAATCCCAGTTCCCTCTCCCTCATGGCCTCCCCTTTACCCCACTAACACCCCTTTGCACCCTCCATCCACTCCCCAGGGAAGGTGAGGCCTCCCATGGGGGAATCATCAAAGTCTGGCACATCATTTGGGGCAGGGACTGTTGGGAAAACCCACAGAAAAAGCTGACCTGAGCAAGTGGGGGCTCACAGACCCCAGTCTGACAGCTAGAGAACAAACATAGTACCAAACCAGGCCCCCTGAACATGGGTGTCAATTGGGGACTTGGGCAGTATATGGGGCCTCTGACAGTGAAACCAGTATTTATGCCTAGTGCATGAATGGACTTTGGTAGCCCATTCCCAATGGAGAGATACTCTCTCAGCCTAGATACCTGGGGGAGAGCCTAGACCCTGATCCAAATGATGCAACAATTTTGGAATGTTTAATACCATTAACTATTTTGAAAATGGGGTATCTTTTTTTTCCCCTAGAAATTATTTTTTATTAGTTCAAATTAGAAACAAGCCTGCTTCACAAGTCAATCCCTTTCCTTCCTCTCCCCCCCACCTCCCATCAGCCCCCCACCCCATCCCCTCCTTTGCTCCCAGGGAGGATAAGGCTCTCCATGGGGGATCCCCAAAGTCTGTCATATCATCCTGGGCAGGGCCTATGCCCTCCCCCACGTGTCCAGGCTGAGAGAGCATCCCTCCACATGGAATGGGCTCCCAAAGTCCTTTCTTACACCAGGGATAAATTCTGATCTACTACCAGAGGTCCCATAGAGTGCCTATGCCTCCTCATTGACATCCATGTTCAAGGGTCTGGATCAGTCCCATGCTGGCCTCCCAAACATCAGTCTGGGTTCCATGACCTGCCCTTGTTCAGGTCAGCTGTTTCTGTGGGTTTCACCAGCCAGGTCTTGACCTCTTTGCTATTCACTCCTCCCTATCTGCAACTGAGTTCCAGAGTTCAGTTCAGTGTTTAGCTGAGGGTGTCTGCCTCTGCTTCCATCAGCCACTGGTTAAAGGCTCTAGGATGGCATATAAGGTAGTCAACAGTCTCATTACAGGGGAAGGGCATTTAGGGTAGTTTCTCCACTATTGCTTAGATTGTCAGTTAGTGTCATCCTTGTAGATCTCTGGAAATCTCCCTAGTGCCAGATCTCTCCTTGAACCTATAATGGCTCCCTCTGTTATTGTATCTCTCATCCTGCTCCCCTCTATTTTTCCCCCGACTCAAACTTCCTCCCCCATTTCCTCCTGTCCCCACCTCTTCTCCCCCTCTCATTCTCCCAGGAGATCCTGTCCCCTTTCCCTTCTCCCAGGTCCATGCAAAGTGTGACTTTTTCCATAAGAAACTCTGCCAGGCTATAGCTCAGATGGCAAGGATGGTAAGAGACCTGGCTCTGCAGTTCTGTATGCTTCACCCAAGTCACACTAATGTATGAGCCATGCCCTCACACATGACCTAAGAAGACACCTGGCTATGTCATTTCAAAGTACCTGCCCCAAGGCCTTAATTGCCAAGTCACTAGACAATTGCAAATCTTGACAGAAACCTATATGTTCTGTTGTTTCATTCATCTCAACCCATAAATCTCAGGAGAACACCAGGACAATGTCCTTGATTTGGAGACCAGACAAATGGGCTAAAACCTTATTTTTAAAAATTTATCAACTACCAAACTCAAAAAGATAACATCAAACCACAAAACTGTAAACAATATTACATTACATACTCTCAAGAAATCACCAATCACATCACAATATCCCCAAGAAGAATGATTTGGAAGAAAAGATAGTCAAAGGTTTCCTGACCAACAGCAGAAACAATAAAAAAAATGCTTACTGGTTCATTGCTCCTGATCTCAAGAGACATTACAAAGCCATGGTTATCAAAACAGTGTGGTATTGACATACTTGAGTACCTACAGATAAATGAATAAAATACAGTAGCAGAAATCCTTTACTTAAGTCCAAAGAGTGCATGATTTTCATCAAAGATGCCAAAACTACATACTAGAGGAAAGACATAATCCTTAAGAAATATTGGGAAAAGTTTGATGCCTACCTGCAGAAGAATGAAAATTAAACTTTATCTCTCATTCAGAAAAAAATCAACTACAAATGAATACAAACCATTATTGTAATATCTGAAATTTTAAACTGATCATATGGCTGGGGAATTTTAACCAACTGTACAATAGTCTCTCCTGTCAAAAAAGCATTCAGAATATAGATTGTTAGTACATCAGAGTAATGTCATTATTACAGCAGTGGACATATCCTGCCAGGTTGGTGTGTATTTTCCCATGAGGGGTGTAGAGCTGGCTAAGATCACTGAATTCCTTTATTGCCCAATGATCTTACCACCTTTTAGAACCATGCAAGCTATACAATAGGAAGAGTTCTCAAGTCATTTTGAGACTGAGAACTTGGTATCCTGGAACCAAAGTGTGTTATACATTCATCAACAGGGTCTATCCACATATTTATGGTGAGAAAACAAGCAAAAATTTAATAGTTTAGATTGTTTAAGAGACATTTGCAGCCTTGCAGACCAAAAGAACTGTATATGAACTAACAAATGTGTTTGTTAAAGGTCCAATGTGAGTTGACCACTGAATTAAGTACAATAGTTTTTAATAATTAATCAGTCAATTTATGGACACAGTTCACATTGAGATTACATTGTAGGATATTATACATAAACAATAGATAATAATTTAAAGAACAAATTTTAGTCGCAGATTGAGATAATTTAGCAATATCATTTCAAACTTTATTTTTATGTTTTACTATTGTACTTTATGCATCTGATTTAAAATAAAAACACAAAGTATACTCCATTCCTGTTTTAGGAAGTAATAACTTCTACTTCTCTTCTTAATTTATTCTGCCTACTGCATTAGTGTTTTGCTAGAAAGCTGGGATAAAGCAAGAGGTTTGACTTTGGTCATTGACAAAGAATTTGAACAATTTGGGTCATGTGATGGTACACAGAATTATACTAAGGTAAAATTTAATAAGATGTTAACCAGAAAATAAACATATGAGTTTTCTCAATAGATGTAAAGCTAAAATTTATTAAAGACTTGGAAGAATATTTTAAAGACATTTCTGTACACATGGGGCATTTGTACAGAGCTTTAAGATGAAGAATTCACATTAGATGGTTAGGCATTAAATGTCATATTCTCCTTAAAATATTAAATTATATCCATATAGAGAAATTGAGACACAGTTTTGTTTACTGATTTTAAATCTATTTCATACAGTCAGACTCCTTATTTAAAGTAATTAGTTTACATTTGTGAGTATTAGGGATTTCCTTTGAAAAGGTAGTTGCTTAGGAATCTTCTCATAGCATTTTTAATCTCTTTGTTTCTCAGTGTATAAATTGCTGGGTTTAGGAGAGGTGTAAAAACAGAGTAAAATACAGCAAGAAATTTATCCAACCAGATAATATTGAGTGGCCATACATAAATGAAAAGGCAAGGCACAAAAAATATCATCACCACTGTGATGTGAGCAGTGCATGTGGACAGAGCCTTAGATGCACCAGATTTGGAACTCTGGAGAACGTTGGTAAGAATATATGTGTAGGAAATGAGTAACAGAATAAAGCAGATTACAGCCACAACCCCACAGTTAGCATTCATTAAAATATCCAAATCATGGGAATCTAAGCAAGCTAGCTTAATTACCAAAGGCATGTCACAAAAAAAGCTGTCTATTTCCTTGGGACCACAAAAAGGCAGCTCCACAATCTCTACCAGGTGACTTGTGGCATGTATAAGGCCAGTAGTCCAAGAAATGAACACCAGCCCAGTGCATCTTTTCAGGTTCATAATGGTGAAGTAGTGGAGTGGTTTGCAGATGGCCACATAGCGGTCATAAGCCATTACCACCAACAACACCATCTCTACTCCAGCAATACAATGGGCAAAAAAAATCTGGGACATGCAGCCTTCAAAGGAAATGGTCTTGTTTTCCCTTGGAAAGTCTGAAATCATCTTAGGAGTAGTAACAGAGGAAAGCCACATATCAACAAAGGACAGGTTGGCCAACAAGAAGTACATGGGAGAATGGAGATGGTGGTCAGTGGTAATTAAGAGCATGATGACAATATTTCCTGACACAATGAAGAAATAAAGTATCAAAAAGATCACAAAGAGTAAGACCTGAAGTTTCTGTGACTGTGAAAGTCCCCAAAGTATAAATTCTGACACCACAGACTGATTGCCTCCATCCATTTTACCCAGTGTGTCATCAGAAATGGCCTGCAAAGAAAAAAAGATTATCAACAAGTCATATGAGGAAGTCTATTTCACGTGAAAATTTGATATTCACTTTGAAACTTATCTGTGTAGAAATGCGTGCATTTACAAAAGAAATTGAAGGCAATATGTTGATACTGTTGCTCAACTGAAAGCTATTGAGTTAATGAGCCAAGAGCAACAACTCAAAAAGAGAAACATGGGTTAGACCTGTATTCCATGTGCTCTATCAGGAAATTCCTCTACAGGAGATCTGTGAGGAAGCAGACAGCAATGTGAAAACCAAAAATGTGTGTGGTTTAATAATTTTAAAGTGTCTGAAATTTTTACTAGCAGTCATGACATGCCATAATGAAAAAGATGGTTAGATTTGGAAACTGATGGGAGAATTGCATTAAATATCAATGCAAATGGTCTGATAGGATACTACCATATTTGACACCATGCCTAATGATATCTTTGGACATCAGCAGAATTGTTTCTATATCATCGATAAATTTAAATTTTAGCTTAAATTTATAAAGTAAATAATGGGAAAATCTCAGTGAGGAATCACGCAGAACCATATAAGATATACACAGATACCAGATTGAAATATATAAACCAGGTTCATAGCTACTCATTAAAAAGTGTATAATACAGAATTTATTTACTCAGCTAAACTGCTTAACAAAATACCACTTTAAATACATATACAAATGGAATTTGAAAGAACACAGCAAAGCATATTCAGACCTAAGCTCTTGAACTCACAATAGGTTCAGCATTAGCAATAGAAAATGTTTATCTGAAAAGCAAATTGCTTTTCAGGAACATAATAACCACTCACCTTTCTCTTCTCTTGTGCAGGTTCTATCAATATTTTCAAAGACCAAATTAAATTCAATAATCTGTTAAAGTATCTCTATATTCTTGCATCTATCTTAGTAGCAATTCTCCTAGAAAATCAAATGTTTGTTTATACAAAATAAATACAAATATTATTGAACAGAAAGACACTAAATAAACTTCTTATGAGTTTAGAAGCAAACTAATATTTTTCTTCTATTTTCTTAGTTTTTTCTGCATTGATTGCCCTTTTATCAAAGTGCTAAACTTTGTGTTAGTCTCATTATTTGCATTTCTCTAAGTGGTAATTTCTAATAACTTTCTCTGCTAGCAGATTGAGTGTTTTCATGTTGTGTTCATTATTTTGCTTTCTTTGGTTTTGTTTTTCTTGTATGCATATTTTACTATTGAAATGTGTTTTAATTGAAATAGAATTCCATCATTTTAGTCCTCCCCTTTTCTTTCTCACACAGCTCGAAAATATCATCCTTACATAGTGTTCCCATGCTACCCCTCAAGTGGCTTGCCTCTTGTTTCTTGACTTTTATTGCTACATATGTAGGTATGTGTATGTGTGTGCACAAATGCACATAAATTAAATTTGTGAAATCCATTTTTGTTGTTGCATAAGGATTCAAGACTGACCACTGTACATTTTACAATGAATTAGGAGGCTGATCCCTGAGAGAGAATGATTTTTCTTCTATCAGACAATAGTTGGCAGAATATTTTTCTACTTATTTCTACAATAGTCACTTAACTTACTTCATTTTTACTCCCATCTCGATTCTGAATGCTATCTTATCTTTGGTGCACTCTAGATGCAAATATTTGATCTTATTAAGTTAAATGGAATATTTGTACAATGTTAGCAGAATGTTACTCTTGTGGATTATCAGATAAAGAATTAGGTTTTTCTGTAGTGGACCTGAGCATACATGGAATAGGAGATTTGGAGACAACACATTAATTGAATTCTAAAGATGACAGAAGTAAAAGTAACTATTCAACTAAAATAAAATGGTATTGGTTAAAAAAAAATAACTAGAAATATTTAAAGAAATGGCTTACAGAAGAAAGTCAGACTGATTGCTTAGCAACTCACATTTTCTTTTGGCTTCTATTTTCTTCCAATCTGGTATGTGCTTATGAAGTTACTCCTGTTGTGTAGAGACAATCTTCCCCTCAGCTAGACTTAATTTCACCTCCTGTAATTGTCCCATGGGTGAAATTCACCTTTGTGTTTTCTGACCAAAATAAGAACCTTATCTTAGAAATCCCTTAGGGATTTTTGTTAAAAGTGATATCAAATATTGAATATTTGTGGGAAAAGCAAGAGAGACAAGGAAAGACTGCCCTAAGTCAGCCTGGCATTGGTAAATTAAGACAACTTTTCAAAATTATTCATTTCAATGATAAGGACTAAAAAGAAGCCTTGTGCTATCTCATGTCTTACTGAATGTATATAATCATTAACTTTTTTGTGCTTGTGAGACTATCCATGATAAGTTGTGAGATATGACCAGAGCAAAAAAAAAAGAAAAGAAAGAAAGAAAGAAAGAAAGAAAAGAAACAACAAAGCTATACTGTGAACATAATTCCCTAATGTGTCAAATCGAGGTCACATGACGTATGCAGTTCTATGTATTCTGTAACTGTTTGCATATTAGCAGGTATGAACTGGATAAAGTGACTATTATCTCTATAGAAATCAAACATTTCTTTTATTGATTTTAGAAAACTATGAAGTATGTCTATACAATTTCACTTGTGATGGAGTTATAATAAATTCTCAAAGTAAACTTGCTACATATGCTTTTCTTTAAAGCAGCATACCTAAATTGCAACTATTATCAGTCCCTGCACAAACCTCCATGTTATTTTGGTTGTTATCTTGGATCCATTCTATCAAGGGTTCTGTCCTTGCCTTTAAAGGCCCACTTATCCTTTTGCATTGACAATAAGCATTTTCAATAGCTAGAGATTCAATTATTATTTGTCTACCTTCTGATTTTTGTGTCATTCTATTTACTGCTGACTTCAATCTTTTATAGGAAATCCACGAAAAATTCCTTTGGGCCCTGTATAACTTTAGTAAATGACTCAATTTTCTTTCTTACTTCTCTAATTCTGTCCCAAGATTTCAAAGCTTCTGTGTGTCATAAAGTCAGGGCATGGTCATCATACAGAGATTGCCTTTCTAAACAAAATAATTCTCTTCTCCAAGAAGTTGATCTTAGAAGATTTCCATACCTCTAGCTCTACTCCGTGTTTAATTGCCATAGCCTCTTTTTTGAACCCAGTACTCCATTGTAATTCTTGGTCAGGCTTTAAAATAGTTTTAATCAAGTCTCTCCAGTCTCTAGAAATAATTATACTGCAAGTTTCCCACAAGTTTAACATCTGCTTCACAAAAGGTGAATGCATGCCATATGAGACTACTGCTTCTTTGAATCTCTTTAAATCTAACATTTCCACAGGAGTACATTTAGCTGTTACAGAGACTCTATCATTTGTCAATTCCAGTAAGGTTACTGGATATATTAAGGTTGGTTGTTTGGAAACACTAGGCTATAGTGGGAAATTACCAATATGGAGTCAGGTAGAAATACAAGGGTATTTAATAGGGAAACGCCTTACTTACAGAGCAACCTAGCCAGCCAGCGTGGCAGTAGTCTGTCCAGCAAGTACAAAAGTGAAACTGAAAGAGAAATGCAGTCCCCTAAAAGTCTCACTCTATGTCACCCTAACCACGCCCTCTCAAGCGTGGTCAGGCACACCTGTAGCCAGCCCCTAAGTAGGCGTGGCTACAGCTTCCCCTACAATTCCCCTTTAGTCTAAAAGAGGATTAAAACTTAGCAGTGTAAAGTATCCAAAATTAACAATCATAAAGGTAAAATATAAGAAGATACCACAATCTGCTTATGTCACATCGTAACTATTTTAACTAAATCCTAAAGTCATCTGAAAGAGGTGTCCAAGCCTGAACACCTCCTTCCAATCCCAACCATAAACAATAAGAAGCTATTCCTAACTAGGTATATACACTATCCTAAATAACAACAATGGGGAAAGGGGATGCAGCATTCTTCAAGTTACTTCCTGCTGAAATGGGATGATGACATCCTTGTGGGGTCGTGTAGGAAGAAAATGTTAGTATAGTGAAAGTCTGAATGGATTGTATCCACTCCATCTTAGATGGGATTCGCTTGATTGAAGATCTTGATTGAAATTCTCGCCTTGATTGAATTCAGTACCTGAAACTCTGGCCTGAGTGTCAGTTGAAACGGAGCAAGTTGGATCCAGTGCAGTTGAGGAGGTGTGGCCCATTTTCTCTCCAGGGTGTCCAAGGATTGCTGTCAGGCAGGTCTTCATTGGCTGTGTGGGACTCAAATATAAACAGTTAGCAGAGAAATGTTTGCTTGTGTATGTACACATGCTGGGGAAATGAAACCATGGGAGCATAACATTTATGAGAGGGTGTATACCTTGAAAGAAAGATCCAAGAAAAGACAAAGACAGTCCCCAAATTCTTCTTTTATTCTGTATTACATCAATTGGCTTCTTGATACAATACAGAAACACTAAAG